ATGTTCACTCCGGGCAGCTGAACAGGCTGGCTGGTTAGCATAAGGATGGTGAGCACATCCAAGGGAGCAGGGCATTTAAGTAAACCTGTTGCTTTGCTCTGCACGGGCAATGTACAAGTTCACTTTAAGAACTGATGATATGTCAGCAGATAGGGGATATATTGTTTAAAAATGTGGTGCATTTCAAATCAAATATTGCGGAAATGCCTAAAAATTGTTGAAAAATAGTTAGCAATTGACAAAGTGGAAAATCTGTGAACTGAATAATTCTCCTGTACACAAAACCATCAAACATGTTTTTACAAATAGAAAAAAGATACCATAGAACAAATGTTCCCCAAGAAAGTGGCATGCACAGCTATCCAACCCTTTATAGTCTCAAAACACTTGCATTGTCAGAAGCAGAAGTAAATCGGAACCATTATGTGGTACTGCACAGCAGGAAGAAGAGGCTAAAGAAGTATTGAGTATTAATGGCTACCCCTATATTTGCAGGGATAGTTATTGTGAATGCATTCAGTAAGACAAACACTGCTATTGAGATAAGGTAAAAGGTTAAGATAAGTTATGTCTTCTTATTCTACGATGGTCTGTCATTTTTATTATCAAATGTCAGTATGTACAGAGATGTCCTTGAAAGGGTAGGTTGACTACCTTATTAAAAAATGTACCAATGCTAGCCTGAGCAGTGTTTTGTATAATACATTTGCTGGCAATCACTGTGAGTGAGTGATTACCTCAAGTCCTATGAATACAGTTTATATTCAGCTGTCTTTAGCCAAAGAAGGGTAAAAAAAATGTCCTGGTTATTTCTACGGCTTCATTTTATACAGCATTTAAAGGGTTAGCGTTTTCCAGCCACAAAGAACATCCGAAATTCTAGACACACATTCCCTGCCACCTCGCATTACCATCTTTGGCATATGAAGTGTAATCAGGTCAGAGCCACCCCCAGGGAGGGGGGAGGAGTGGCAGACCTCTCTGATATGTAGACTGCCAAGTCTGATATGTAGTGACAGAGGGACGGTGCTGAGTATAAACTCAGTGATGTCAACTTTGCAGCCTACAGGGTTAGCCAGAGCTGGAAAATATAGGCCAAAAAAGGGGCTTCGGATTTCTAACTAACTAACTTGTAGGCTAGTTTCATGCCAGATGTATATTTGTCAAGATGTATTGGGTGTCAGGCACTGATACGAGTTGATGTGCGTTGCAATAGGTTTGAATTGACCACAATGTCAAAAAGCAGCACAATGCACACAAAATACAGGACTTTTTCACAGTACACTCCAATATAATGCATTGGTGTTGACAATTATTTTTGAAAAGAATGTATTTTCTCTTGTCCTTGCATTTTGTTGCATTACCAAATTGATACCTCAGTGTAACAAAGGTCTTACTGGCATGTGAAAGAATTATCTTTTTGTAAAGGTGAATTGGCTACTAACATGAAGGTACAACATAAATACAAGAAATTAATTTCTAACTCCCCCCATCTCTCTTACCCCCCTTGATGCGTTTAGTAGAACATGTTCTTAGTACTTACTGCTGCCTTTCCAAATTACATTTATTCTGTAATCAGTGAAGCATGGGGGCTGCAATTCATGATTTCCTTATGAAAATGCTAGTACCCTGGCCTGTCCCAGAAAAAGCATGCAGCAAAGAAATATCAGAATAAAATTCAAATTTGTATGCTTTTTCTGGGTCCATAACTCAAAGTATTGAAGCCAGAGCATTGCAGTGATGGCCGGGTAGCCAGCATTTTCAGAAGAAGTGGTCAGCAGGGAAATATATTCTAAGGTTTACAGCTTCCTGGATTTAAAGGGACATTTTATTCAATATGCAGTACCTCATCGTGTTTATAAGTGTCAACTGAACACATGTGTTTGTGGGGTTACATTATTGCCACTCCAGTAGCACCTCCACATTTGATGATTAGAAGCTGACACAAAGTATGTACCTCTCATTCTATTGTGCCAAGCACTGCAGTACCATTAAGCAAAATGTTATTTTCTATAGTGTTGTCTAAGGCAGGGCTGGACAAATTCTGGGAGCCGGGTCGCAATGCTCCTTACAAATTACAGCCTAACTTTTGAGGTTATCCCTAGTTATTGTCAATGGAGCTGGCTTGTCAAATAATGGATTTTGTCCTGGATTGGACAGGCTGACTCCTGAATTCCATATTAATTTGTCCACCCGGTCTAAGAGATGCATGGTATTAATCTGAATGCTACACATTTCTTCTTTAAAACAGCTGCAGATTGATATCTTTAAAAAAAAGAATGATCTAATTCTCCTTTTAATGAAAACCAATGCGTTTTTCTCCTTTTCTTTCAAAGATGCTGCACAAACCAATTCTGTGACTCAGCAAGGAAGAATTCACTTTGGTTTTGGCTTACGGACTAGGAATAATATTGAATTCCTTACAGTGGCAAACGGCCGCCAATCTGTGCATACCTGCCATGATTTGTGCTACAAGAGTCACTCATGCAATGTGTTGTGGTTGTTAAAAGACACCTGCATCCTTGCTGACTGTAGGACTCCACATCACTGTCAAATAACCAAGATGGACTCCAGAGACTCTCTGTTGGTTTTCTTAGACAAGGAGCGCACATCATGGACTTTACCATTTCACCGTATGTCAGATATAAGTCGGGAAGAGTATCGTCCTGAAGAATCACATAGGCCAAGGCTGAAAAGAGGGGCTCTGTTACGAGTTAAAAGACAGGATAGCAAGCTCGGCAATCAAAATCGTAAAACTGAACAGCAAGATCCTCCTTCAAAAAGAAACCACAAAATTCTAACGAATAACACAGCAGGGAACCAAGACACAGAGGTAAGGTGGTGCACTGTTTATTTTTTTAGTATTGTTGAATTTAAAGTTTAAATCAAGCTGAAAGATATTTAGGGTACTAGATGATGCCACTGGGTCATTTATCTAATGAGAATTGTTGCTTAGATTTCCCATAATCACTTGCTGTGTTTGCCTCCTGCATTTGCTGTGAATGTTTGCATACCTCAAGCTTATAATAAGTTTACCACCTGTTAAAATTAATTGCATTACTTTTTGGGTAAAAACATTTCTGGGTAAAAAAAACTAGATGGCTGATTAAGCTGACAGAAAAAACGAGGCTCCAAGTACATGTCTAGGGGGCAGCAGGTGTACGATAAAGTGTGAGTATTCACTGTTCTTTATTGTGTGCTTCATTGTTATGGGTTAATATGTTGGGAATGCTAAAGAAAAATCCCTTCTTAGCCTTCTCCAACCTCTCTAGTTGCAGTTGTGTAAGTTTGATGGAGTCACAAGGCATGCATGTGCTTGACTTTTAAACCATTTGGCAAAGACCTGGATCCAAATACAGGTCTCGGGGCAGCAGGAGTAGGATAAAAAGTGAAATGTTGTATCTGCAAACTTGCTTTAATTGCTTGGGTTTGTATAAAGAAGCTAAGGTGTGGCAAAAGCACATTTATTCTATATGAGATCCAAAAATGCACTTTCTTGCAACCTTGGGAGCAGAAAGGGGACTGGTGTATAAGTAGTATTTCTTAATAGTAGGGATGCACCGATATATCGGCCGCCGAAACATATCGGCCGAAAATGGCACTTTTGGCATAATGCCGAAAGAGCCATGTTTCGGCCGATACATCGGGTCATCCCTGCTTTCTTTTCTCCCCGCTGGGCGCTGTTCCAGCGGGGAGAAAAGAAAGTGACAGCCGCCGAGCGCTGCAGGAGTCAGGACGAGAGCGTTGTGAGCTGCGGCATCTCTCCTCCCACACTGCTCAGCCGCCTATCACAGTCCGGCAGAGCGGTGTGTGGGGGGAGACATCTCTGTCACAGGAGGCTGGGCTTTCCTCTCTACACGGGTCGATCAGCCTCCTGTGACAGCGTGTCAGAGAGAAAAGCAAGATACACACACTCAGTGATCAGTGATCGCTGAGTGTGTGTACATAATTGAGGATATAGTATGTTAACTATATCCTCAATTATGAATGAATGGGAGTGATCTACATCACCCCCATTCATTCATAATTGTAGTTATAGTAAACATGCCATGTACTCATGTTATCAATGAACAGGAACACTCATAGAGGATTCCTGATCATTGATAACAGGGGACACAGAAAAAGAGATTGAGGACTCTGTGTTCTCAATCTCTTTTTCTATTTTAAAAGGGAAATATCAGGGGTCTGTTTAGACCCCTAATATTTCCCCGAAGCCCCTAAAAGTAAAGTAAAAAATAAAAATATTTAATAAAAAATGAATTAATAAATA